CGATGACATGCATCAACCAAGTCAGCGAGCCTGACCACCCGATCCCGTTAGTCGCCTTTTACGCCAAGAATAGTTGCCTTTTACGGCAAACATGGGTTGCTGAAGACTTATTCTATCCCGGAATATATCACACACACACACACACACACACACACACACACACACACACACACACACAGAGAGAGAGAGAGAGAAACACACACACACACACAGAAACACACACACACAAAGAAACAAACACACACACACACACACACACACACACACACACACACACACACGCAAACAAACAAACACATACCGTATCCGACGTAAAAAGCGCCCAGGGCGTTCTCAAAATTAAAAATAGGGGGTTCTTATTAGAAATTATTTTGGTGAAAAGAAACAGAGTTGAAAGACCATAAATTCCCTAGTTTTTGCTGACAGCCTGAAATGTTTATATACGACAGATATATTTTTCCAGAATTTAATTGCCGATAATTAAGAGTTAATAACACACGAGTGCGTATTATACATGAATAAATAAGTCGTGTGTACATTGATCAGTCGGAAGGGGTGCAAATTTGGATTGTTCACTAGCCAATATATTAGCAAATATCGCGCTTATTAGAGTGGGGTGCTTATTACGTCGAATACGGTATACTGAAATGTTTGCAAAGTCGGCAGCGGCGATGAACAATAATTAGCAACCATTTTACCAAACAATCGACAAATATTTCTTTTTTAAATACAGATATGAGCAAGGAATTAGAAATCTTCTATGAAACAACAATGTTTTAAGCAATAAATACATTTGTTAATAATATGACATCTGTAGACTTACAGCAAAAATTAAAGTTAATGAATACCAATAGTTTCAAATATTCAAGAGCAATATGAAAAGTTTTAACCAATGATTGCCCAGGGCCTCGATTTTGGCGATCTAACTGCGTAGTTGCTGAACGAGTCTGTGCTGGGTTTAAACCCTCAGATGAAACGTCCGTGACCTAATTCTTCACTGTCTCAATTAAGCCGACTCAGCAATTGTTATCTCATGTTTCCAACTAATGTTGTTCCCTTATAGCCTTGGAGCTAGTTATTAGTATGCTTGTACATTGACCATACATTGTTGTACAAAATACATTCAATATCAACTCTTAATAAAGTCTAAATGTCGTATCCGTACATTTAAATATTCAGCTATTTCTATGGACAAGTGATAGTTAATCTCTAAAAGATATCGCACTGTACCTTAAACGACATTTGAGAAATGCAGTTATTATTCATCATATTCCGTGTAAAAAAATCACAATTTGTTTCCCTCTCTGCCCTAGTGTTATACGCTTCACTATTCATAGGTTCACTTCAAGAAATGTCTCCATACCCGTGCTCGTGGGTTTCACCGAAGTGGTAAACCTCTGAGACCTGCATCACTTCGGTCTTTCCTCACGAATTAAGCTGACACGCCGTGATGGAATAATGTTAAAAGCGGCGTTAAACCCAACTCACTCACTCACTCACTCACTCACTCACTCACTCACTCACTCACTCACTCACTCACTCACTCAAGCAGTGTGTGCTTTTGTTTCCCTGGAAACGATAAACTAGTCTTAACTTTTTTCCTCTTCTTAAAAACAAAGAAAGAACAGTTTCTCTCTTTTTTCAATCACTTACCAAATTCGTAAACCAGCTGATAAACAAAGAGTGAGTGAGACAGGTTGGTTTAACACCGTTTAGCAAGATTCTAGCCACATCATGGCGGAACGATCAAAGAAAGGTGTGTCTGTGAATGCAACACGTGATAAAATTAAGATCTAAAACTTAATGTACAATTTGCGATAAGATTACGAAAAATCAGTAAAACCATCTGTCTACATTAGTGTCCCAACTCGATATTGTTTGTCGTTTGTTTCCTCAACAAATCATTTTTGTGATTGAGTTTAACAGTGTTACACTGAATTTGCTGGCGTCGTTTTCTTCACTCAATTAGTGCGTCACAGGCCACTTTCTTCATTTATAATTATAAAATTATTAAAATGATTGAGAAGAAGAAGAAGAAAAATCTGGAGTTCAGAGCTGAACGTTCGCAATAAAGTCAAAGCCACAAATACTTATGCTGTACCCATCCTTTTGTATTCTGTTGGCGTTGCTGACTGGACGAAACAATAAATTCAGGGTATTGACACAATAGATTCAAGCACAATCGCTCCTCCCTCAAGCGCTTATATTTACCAATTATAATGGGAGGGCGTGGTTTAATTAACGCAGAGGCTCTTCATGATAGAATTGTATTGTGCAATTTTGCACACGATTATTTGTCTGATGATCCTCTTGTGAAGCACGTCATAACTCATCATGAAAACAAGGCATTCCACAGTTTCTTTGAACGAGACAAGGAAGTGGGATATAATCTCTATGTCAATGTTGAATTTGTTGATGGTTCTGTACTGCTGGACGCTTACAGAAATCAGAGTCAACCAAGCGAAGTGCCATTTCAAATCGGCCCAGATTCGGTTTTTCAAGGAGTGGCTATCTGAACGACCACTGCGTCGAATTTATTTGAGTCCTTCTTTTGGATGAAGTCGGCTGGCCTGAAAAGTGAAACAGAAGGGTTTCTGTGTGCTACTCGGGACCAGTCACTCCCCACTCGAAACCGTCAATGTGTGAATTTACACAGAAATGTAAATAGGAAATGTAGATTATGCAATGAATTTAATGTCACACACATTGTCAGTGGATGCCCAGCTTTGGCACAAACACAGTATCATAAGCGACAAGATGGAGTTGATCATCCTTGTATTACCGTCTTCGCCATGCTTGTGGTTTTGACACAGAGGTCCATCCATTGTACGACCCAGAATATGTAGAGGGTGTCATGGAAAATGATAAATACACAATTCTTTGGAATAGGCCCGTAGACAGCCTCAGACCTCTCCGGACCAACAAACCTGATCCTGTCCTTTTTGATAAATCCAATGAAATAATATATACCATTTCGGTCGGAGTTTTCGCTCCCTTTTGATACTAATGTGGTTGAAAAGATTCAGGAAAAAACATGCAAATATGCGGATCTTGCTTCCAAAATGTCACGCTTGCATCCCAAGTACCAAGTTGTCCGACTCCCCATGGTTCTCGGTGCCTTAGGTTTGGTACCACCCGATCTGTTGACCGACATTGGGAGAGTACCCGGGTTTGCTACCATAAATACAGCCCTTCTGACAATCTGGGTTATGCAGAAGTCTGAAGTGTTTGCGGAGTCTGGGTGGATTCGACTAGGCACCGCTTCCTGGGAGAAGTCCCATTCGCTGTCTGGGCTGCGTGTAGAGTGGGCAATGGTCCTGAGCTGATGATGAGCGTAACCAACCTGACTAAACCCTCTTGGCTGCATTTATTTATTTTAATCTGAAAATAATAATAATTTGCATATTAATAAAGCGACAAATCCACACACTAAAGCATGCTAAAAGTACTACTGTAACAATATTACCCCGATCGATGGATCAGTCTGCACTCGATTTTCATTCTCAGCTCAATCATCCTACACGTGTATGTGCTTACCTTGTTCATAAGCTCGAAGAACGCAGTGTCAAGGTCCCGTCTCTGGTCATGCGTTCGAATCCGAAATTCGACCCGATTATGATACCTGGCTTGCCCGCACCTTTTTTCGTGAAGGCGAGTTTCACCGGTGTTGTCCGTCCATGACCTACAGCGAGGGCCTTCGTGCTTGACGTGCTATGGGCAACGAGGGGCCCAGTTTGGGCCTTCCTGCGTGACTTGCTATGGGCAACGATTGGCCCAGTTTGGGCCTTCCTGCGTGACTTGCTATGGGCAACAAGATGCCCAGTTTGGGCCTTCCTGCTTGACTTGCTATTGGCAACTAGGGGCCCAGTTTGGGCTTTCCTGCTTGACTTGCTATGGGCAACGAGGGGCCCAGTTTGGGCCTTCCTGTTCTACTTGCTGTGGGCAACGAGGGCCCAGTTTGGGCCTTCCTGCGTGACTTGCTGTTGGCAACGAGGGCCCAGTTTGGGCATTCCTGATTGACGTGCTGTGGCAACGAGAGGCCTAGTTTGGGCCTTCCTGCTTGACTTGCTATGGGCAACGAGAGGCCCAGTTTGGGCCTTCCTGTTTGACTTGCTGTCAGTTGACCAATTGACTTGCCTTTGCATCTGTTGATACTTCGTATCATCACTGTTTGAAGGTTATTCATAAACACATGCTCACGATACAGTCGGAATCGTACAGTCGACTCTGCTTTTGGCAGATATTTCTGATGACTACAGAAATGTATTAGAGAGTCAGGATCTGTTGTTTGTTGGTTTGAATGCCAGATTCGTCTCTGCTTGAACGCAAATACTTTTCATCATAAAAGTTCCTCTCCATGGCTAAATGTTTCTGTCCATTTCTGTCAGGAGTAAGTTAAAGCCCCACGGCTGAGGCGCTGTATAGTTTTATAATATATCGAAATTGTTACATCGTCTTATTCACTTCAAATAATTACGCACAATTGAAATACTAGTACCTCATGCATAAGTCATATAAAGATCAGATGACAAGCACTAACAAGTTAACATATGTGTAAGTTAAAGTTAAATTGCAAAATATTCAGTTGAACAAGTATAAAGTACATAACGTATTGTGCAATGTGTAATTTCTTTTAACTGAGAATTCGTTTCCTATCGCCCAGTATGGATAGCTGACCCATTCACAAATTGCTTCATTGAGAAATATCGGTCGTAATTTGACAAGGGCGACACTGATAACCTAACTTTTACAGACGGTACCATATTCGACCTGAAGGGGATCTGGACTATGCAATGTACGTTGATATGTCTTAATGCATCTGAATAATCCAAATTCATGTTCAAATACAAAATTTTATTAACACATTATAATAATTATTATAATAATATGTCATATAGTCACACGTGTGTAAGGAACCACTTCCCTTTAAACACAATGGATTAACCCAAATGTATGCGTCACATGACGATGGGTTACTATAAAAGACTCTCAGTCTGAGAGGTCAGCATCATCACCAGAAACTACTGGTTTGATCATGTGGGCGATCTTGGCGTTGTTCGCGGTCCCTCTTTTCTTTGGGGTAAGTCGTAATTGTCTTTGTTTGGCGTGATGTCACAAATGGCCTTAATGGTCTATGATTGTATCGCAATGCGTTGTGCAGAGTTGCGTACCCTAGCCGTGTCAGGAACTGCTAGTTCGAATATTATATTCGCTCTGAATACAGTCACCAAATTATTAGCACCTGCACCGTGATGGTTATACAGCTGAAAATAATGTTACTGCGTGATAAATTGTGCCGGACACGTTATGATTGACGGGCTGTGCCGGACACGTTATGATTGACGGGCTGTGCCGGACACGTTATGATTGACGGGCTGTGCCGGACACGTTATGATTGACGGGCTGTGCCGGACACGTTATGATTGACGGGCTACACGTTATGATTGACGGGCTGTGCCGGACACGTTATGATTGACGTGCTGTGCCGGACACGTTATGATTGACGGGCTACACGTTATGATTGACGGGCTGTGCCGGACACGTTATGATTGATGAGCTGTGCCGGACACGTTATGATTGACGGGCTGTGCCGGACACGTTATGATTGACGTGCTGTGCCGGACACGTTATGATTGACGGGCTGTGCCGGACACGTTATGATTGACGGGCTGTGCCGGACACGTTATGATTGACGGGCTACACGTTATGATTGACGGGCTGTGCCGGACACGTTATGATTGACGGGCTGTGCCGGACACGTTATGATTGACGGGCTGTGCCGGACACGTTATGATTGACGGGCTGTGCCGGACACGTTATGATTGACGGGCTGTGCCGGACACGTTATGATTGACGGGCTACACGTTATGATTGACGGGCTGTGCCGGACACGTTATGATTGACGGGCTGTGCCGGACACGTTATGATTGACGGGCTGTGCCGGACACGTTATGATTGACGGGCTGTGCCGGACACGTTATGATTGACGGGCTGTGCCGGACACGTTATGATTGACGGGCTACACGTTATGATTGACGGGCTGTGCCGGACACGTTATAAATGACGGGCTGTGCCGGACACGTTATGATTGATGAGCTGTGCCGGACACGTTATGAATGACGGGCTGTGCCGGACACGTTATGATTGACGGGCTGTGCCGGACACGTTATGATTGACGGGCTACACGTTATGATTGACGGGCTGTGCCGGACACGTTATAAATGACGGGCTGTGCCGGACACGTTATGAATGACGGGCTGTGCCGGACACGTTATGATTGACGGGCTGTGCCGGACACGTTATAAATGACGGGCTGTGCCGGACACGTTATGATTGACGGGCTGTGCCGGACACGTTATGAATGACATGCTGTGCCGGACACGTTATGAATGACGGGCTGTGTCGGACACGTTATGATTGACGGGCTGTGCCGGACACGTTATGATTGATGAGCTGTGCCGGACACGTTATGAATGACGGGCTGTGTCGGACACGTTATGATTGACGGGCTGTGCCGGACACGTTATGATTGACGAGCTGTGCCGGACGCGTTATGACTGACCGGCTGTGCCGGACCCGTTATGAATGACATGCTGTGCCTGCCATGCTGTGCCTAACGTGCTGTGATTGACACGTTATGCTTGTCATCTTTGTAGCCCTAAGACATTGTTTTGATACGCTCAATATGTGTTAAACGCCAGTGACATAAAACGTACCTCCACCACGATCCGACTTTAATTCAACACAATCGGTTTTTGTGTTTATTCAGGACAGTGCGAACCTCAACGCTTTCTACTAATTACAGCAATCAATTACGTTTCAAACTAGTAGTTGTAGCAGTATTAGTAGCATCATTACTCTGTGCGCATATACATCGCAGAACTTTCCGATCAATACTTAGACCCAAATTTATCATGTTCTTGAACAATTTATTTGTTACGATACATCTTATATCTTTAAATAATATCGTGTTCTATTTTTCGGATTTCGGATTAAAAAAGTGTGGATATGTTTATGATTGAGTAGGTCGAGTATATATATTCGCTCAAGCTATGACAAGTTTGCGATCCTACTGGAAAACTGACTTTTTATCAGAAATATACTCCTGCTTATTCTGTTGTGATTGCATTTCAGGGGACCATGTCATCAATTGGTAAGTACCATATTTCAATAAGACACCAGCTAACCCATTCAGTGTATATACATGTACAAGTGTGTGTTTTAGTAACATATAGCTTACTAGCTTCAGTGACACACGACCGCCTCCGTGGTCTAGTGGTAGAGCATCCGCCCGGAGAGCGGAAGGTCCGGGGTTCGATCCCCGGCCGCGTCATACCAAAAACGTTAATAGATGGTAATTGTTGTTACCCTGTCTGGCGTTCGGCATTAAGGGACTGGTCAAGGACTGGTCGGCTTGGAGACAGTAAACTGTGTCTGAGTGGGGTATTCATGTTAAACTGCGGCATGGTATCTCAGTGGGCTAGCACTATAAATCGGCATCAGTCCGGACTAGTACAAGCAGCGTTACACGTTAAACCAAATTTCACCTCACCTCACCTCAGTGACACACGGGTAGCCTGGTAATTTAAGGACCAATGCGCTCATTCCTTGGTTTCCCCAAGGTATCGACCCGGTGTCGGGGTAAACATGCCCTGTCGGTACCACCCGTTCAGTGCGCCTTTGTGAATAAAGGACAAGGTATGAAGACGAGCCTTTTCGCCCAGAGTGACTTTGGTTTACGCCGTCTTGAACAGCACTGCAGTTATATCACGACGACAGGAAAGTCCGAAGTGATGCAGGTCGTAGACGTTTTCCACTTAACCTTAAAACTCATGAGTACAGGTATGGTGCTGACAAATCTAGTGACGAACCTGGATTCGAACCCACGATCATAGGTTTCTGTCAGTCTAAAGCCCCACCCTGACTATAAATAGCCCGCAAGGTGGCGGTGTTTACATGACGTCACCCGTTTACGCATTAACCAATGAAATGTGTGTGTTATCATGACGTCATATTGACCTGTCAGATCACTCGTATAAGCTCTGCTCACTAGAGTGCGGTAGTTCCTACCGCAGATAACCCTTTAACGAACTCAGCAAAGCTAATTGAAGCTCCTTAGACGACTGGACCACTCGTGCTCTGCCTATTGTAAGAAATGAGTAAAGGGTTTAGGATAATGTTTTTCAATTTATCAGATTCAATGAATTCGAATTTGGTCTTTTCAAATGAATGATGAACTATTGCTGAACGCCGCGTAAAACCATAAAGTATTGCTGCCATTGCCGTGGGAGATACCAAGCGTTTCGTAAGGACCAAATATACATGCCAATTATTGGCATATTTAAATTGTCAAATGTTAAGTAACCACATGCACATTTTCGGACATGTTCATGCCAGCTTTATTCATTCTTAGGTCTAGATTTGTGGCATTATCAAATACAGACGTATAATTGCTAAAATGAATGAAAAAGCAGCATTATTAGAACTTCAAGATATAATATAACTATTTGATACGTGTCTGTGCCTACATATTTCCATAGAAAAACAGAAGACTAAGTATCAGAAAAACACTTCCTGAAATGTTGTTTTTAGCCTCACCTCTACATGTGTCGTAGTAAATCGAGTGAGTGAGTTTGGTTTAACACCGCTTTTAACAGTATTCCAGTTATATCGCGGCGTGTCAGCTTAATCTGGGAGGAAAGCCCGAAGTAATGCAGGTCCCAGATGTTTACCACTCCGGTGCTGACAAACCTAGAGACATAATCAGGGCGAACCGGGATTCGAACCCAAAATCATAGGTTTCTGGCGTGCCAAAGGGACGCAACTCTGCACAGCGAATCGCGACGCCTCAGACGGCATATAGGTTGACTAAGGTAAGCTTGAAGAGGCGATGGTTCGACGTCAAACGTTTTGTGGTACAAAGTCTCTTCAACCCTCTTATCGCCGAATGTAGCAGTCAGGAAGTCTATAAAAATGGTGGTACATTATGTCGACTTTTACGACCAAGATAGCACCAGCTCCGAACTTCACAAATACCCATCTGAAACATTGGCTTTGTCCCCGCTTAAAATGAGTTGGGTTTAACGTCTCTTTTAACAGTATAACAGCTATATCGCGGCGTGTCAGCTTAATGTGGGAGGAAACCCGAAGTAATGCGACGCAACATTATCAGAATGTTAAACAGAATGATATGTATAATCATTCTTTGACCCTTTGTAGTAAATCGAAAAAACGAAAGTTTTGAAAAGAACAAATTCGAAGTCACTGAACCTGATAAATTTTATAAGAATTTCTAAGCCATGGTAAAAAGATACAATGTTTTTCTTTCGTAATTACGTCAATAGTAATGATACGAGGCCGTCACAGGTTTTAAAATATGTTGTCTTATACTTTCTGCATTAACTCTAAGTACTTTAATATATTCCTTCAACAGTACAAATAGATTGGTGACCTGTAAATCCCCAAGCAGAGAAACGTTCGTCTATTTCTTTACTCATGTAAATATACTTCTCACGTGACTCTGTTATCAAATAGCTTGTCATCGATACAGCTTGTGTTTCAAGCCGATTTGTATAGGTATCCCAGAGCATGCTGACTTGACATGGACTATGTCATGAAGTCATGTAAATATCATACATGTTAAGTATACAATTTATAGACACTTGAAACTCTCGTGCTTCTTGAAACCTGTACATTTCAGCATGACAGACCTCGAACAACAAACACGTGACTGCACACACCGTGCAGTGTATATGAAATCAATTTGCTTCAATGTGAAAAGTGGAGTTTGTGCAATCTGCAGTGTATAGTTATTGAAACTCGAGTATTTGCCTGTACCCTTATATACATATATCAGGATATATAAGACAGCTACGCAATATAATCGCAAAGAGCAATGAAGAACGAAGCGTGGGTTATCACACGATAATATGAGTAATTCTTCATAGGTTAACCAACATATATGGTATTCGCGTTTCTTTTGTCGGTGAGTATACTTTTATTCCTTATATAATATACTTAAGATAAGAAACGCGCGGGTATGATCATTCATTGAAGAAACCACACAGAAATGTAATATATAAATGAACTGCCCCATTTTATTATGCAGTGCCAAAGAATTTTCAGCCACGATTGTCTAAAAAAAAACTATAGCTAAGTAATTGGGGAAAGTTAATTAGGCAAAATATTCCGAGGAAGTAGGCATGGCATCGCTGTATAGTCTTCAGTATATGTAGGTCTTGTCTGATGATCATTTGCATTTTAAGTGAGTGAGTATGGTTTTACGCCGCTTTTAGCAATATTCCAGCAATATCACGGCGGGGGACACCAGAAATGGGCTTCACACATTGTACCCATGACGGGAATCGAACCCGGGTCTTCGGCGTGACGAGCGAAGGCTTTAACCACTAGACTACCCGACCGCCCCTGCATTTTAAGGCAATGGTTTATCGAATCGGTAACATCACCAATCACATTAACTATGATGTTATTCTGTCGGGGAATATTGTGCCCGAGCAGCAATCCATGCCGCCGCCATGGAGACACACAGTCAGCCTTGTTACATACACACTGACAACCCCCTGACATCGTCTGTTCTAACCCCAGTTGCGTCCCTTAACCGTATCAGGATCCGTGGCTTCGAGACCCTAATTCCTACCGACTTTGATTATTACCCTTGTTTTGTAACACGGTAACCGTATTCGTGCGTGCTGATATAATGTAAACGACCTGGGCCCCGTTCCGCAAAGCTAACTTAGCGCTAAGGTGATCGTAAGTCCCATACTTTAACATAGGCTTACGATCATCGTAGTGCTAAGATCGCTTTGAGGAACGGGGCCCTGCATCGTTTGGGTCGTCCGGTTCAAGATGACGGGCTGTAATATAACTGAAATAGTGTTCAAAGCGGCAATAAATCCAACTAACTCACGAACTAATCCTACGAAGTCCATTATCTTTGATACTCTTATAGACATAGTTGTATTATTTAAGTGTAAATATTCTGAGAATCCTCTGATAATTGATGGAATTTAAAAAGTACAATATGCATATTTGTTACGCATTATCAAATAGAGGGCACGAGTGGCCCAGTCGTCTTAGGCGCCACAATTCGCTGTGCAGAGTTGCGTCCTTTGGGAACGACCCAAACCTACGATTGTGGGTCGAATCCCGGTTCGCACCGATTATGTTGCTGGGTTTGTCAGCACCATATCCGTGCTCGTGGGTTTCATTTAAGTGGTAAACGTCTGAAACCTCTCTTCGGGCTTTCCTTCGACATTAAGCTGACACGCCGTGATATAACTTGAATACTCATAGAGGCATTAAATCAACTCACTCACTCACTTGACGTGTTTACGCACTTCATGGTATGGAAATGGTATTCCTTATCAACCAAAGTTTAGATACACATTTTTTAATCAAACGATAATTGTTTGTATCTAATATTTCCAGACACCGTTACTAGGAAAAATGTGGACAACTTGACCTCTGATGAGATTCTTGCCCTGGAGCAAGCAATGCACGACATCCAAGAGGATGAAGGCAGCATGGGATACCAGGCCATTGCTGCCTATCACGGCGCGCCAGCAGGCTGTGTTGACGGTCACGGCCGCAAGGTGGCGTGTTGTCTCCACGGTATGCCCTCGTTTCCGTTGTGGCATCGTCTGTACGTCGTGCAGATGGAGCGGGCGTTGATGAGGCATAAGTCCACGGTGAGCATCCCGTACTGGGACTGGACGCAGCAGCTGAGTCATCTCCCAGATCTGGTGTCCGACCCCTTGTATGTGGACCCTGAAGGCGGAAAGGTAAGGTGGAATATATCTCAGTAATGTCAACAAATGAATGTGGTGAGATATGATGGGGTTTAACGTCGCGTTCAAGCTCAAGGCAGTTTTATAGCGACGTCATTCGCGCGTGTGGGTGCGTGCGTGTGTGTGTCTATCTGCTTGACCTAGCCCACTGAGATATCATGTCGCAGTTTAACATGAAAACCACTAAGGCACAGAATTCTGATACTCGACCAGCCCTTGTTTTATCCCAATAATGCCGAACGCAAGGCAGGGAAATAACAAGTACCATATTTTAAGAAAAATGAATGAATTGATGCATCCTTTCAATTTTACCTGTTCCACTGATACAAACAGGTCCTTAGACCTTGTAATTCGTGCCTTATGAGACTATGTGAACTTCGGTTAACTGCTACCGTTTGATTGATACACATCCTAAGATTTGAGACAGCTTTTTGTGTTGTTCTTTCACGAAGCATACAGTTATATTCCAGCTGTTGTAAAGAGATGATCTCCCAATTTCACAAACAACTAGTAGAACTGCAAATGACCACAGAGCATCTCTCCGTTTAAATATTAATTTAAAATATATTTCATAATCAATGTATTTTCCATGCGTCGGTTCACACAGACATTATGGTATGTGTATAGCACGGGATTTCACGAGCAGAAAGTGGATGTACACCACGGTACTAAAGGTCCGGTGCTGTACACATGCATGTTCCTATTGACCTCAGAGGAAGGATTTATCAATGCGAGTTAACACGTTAGAAAGAATTAATTTAGGTGATATATTGTGTGTAACAATATAATCTTGGATCATGATCGGCCACCTCTGTATGGTGACTCGGATTATGAAGAGAGTGAATAGTTACCTGACATGCAAGTGAGGTCACGTCAAACAGTGTGTCATGATATCCATGACTCCCGATCAGCGGCCCTGTATGGGTCAGTCTTATAGTTCGATTTCTATACCAGAAATATTAAAAGAGTATAATCGGGTGTTTCGGCGTTCCTAACCCTACTAGGGGCGTTCGGGTAGCCTAGTGATTAAAGCGTTCGCTCGTCACGCCGAAGAACCGGGTTCGAAGCCCATTTCTGGTGTCCCCCGCCGTGATATTGCTGTAATATTGCTAAAAGCGGCGTTAAACCATATTCACTCACTCCTAACCCTACTCACTATTTCCCTTCAGGCCCATGACAGCGCATGGTATCGTGGAAATATCAAGTTCGAGAACAAAAAAACTGCAAGAGCTGTTGACGACCGCCTATTCGAGAACGTTGGACCAGGAGAGCATACCCGACTGTTTGAAGGTATTCTGGATGCGCTTGAGCAGGACGAGTTCTGCAAATTTGAGATCCAGTTTGAGCTGGCGCACAACGCCATCCATTATCTAGTCGGCGGTCGACACACGTGAGTCACAATCTTTGCCAGTCTTGAGTGAAGTCTCCGAGTCTGACCTTTCCCCTTACCAAGTCCACAAAGGGACCATGTGAGAAATACCTGCAAATTTCTATTTTAGTAAGTAATTCTTTGATGTAGCCATCCGACTCTCTCGACAAAGAAAGCTCAATGCATGACAGTTTTTTCCAAGACGACAATATTAAGCATGCGTGTAGGAAACTTTGCTAGTCTTGAGTGAAATCGCCGAGTCTGACCTCTCCTCTTACTAAGTCCAAAAAGGGACCATGTGAGAAATACTGCAAATCTCTATTTTAGTAAGTAATTCTTTGATGTCAGGCTCTCTCGACAAAGAAAGTTCAACGCATGCCAATATTTCCAAGACGACAACAATATGCATGCGTGTACGAAACGATATTTAAGCATATAGATTATACGGGTGTTTAGTTATTTCTCAATCTGCATTGATCGAAGTCCGCGCTATCAGCAACTGTCTCACTATCCCCAAGAACAATACCATTAGGTATCAAAATACACATTGGCAATCCCGTTGAAGCCTATACACCAATTAACCCTAAATTCTATTGTGTCTCATTTTTAAGCCGCAAAACGGTAAATCTCTGTTGTGTTCTCAGTTGATTTTGGTGCTCATTTCAGGTACTCCATGTCTCATCTCGAGTACACATCCTACGACCCCATCTTCTTCCTCCATCACTCCAACACAGACCGTATCTTCGCCATCTGGCAGCGTCTTCAGCAACTTAGAGGAAAGGACCCCAACTCCGCTGACTGTGCACACAACCTCATCCACAAGTCAATGGAACCATTCCATCGGGAGTCGAACCCGCTCGACCTTACCAGAGAAAACTCCAAACCAGTGGACACCTTTGATTACGCTCACCTGGGCTACCAGTACGTATGGTTATAGTAATGAGTGTGTTTGATATTAACGCCGATTTTAGCAGTGTTATAGTTATACCACGGGGGAAAGCCCGGATTGGCACGGGTCTCAGACGGTTAGCACTTTGGTGAAACCCACGAGGATGGGTATGCTTATGAAAATCATTATCAGGTTAAAGTTGGGATTCACACCCACGGGGACAGGTGTTTGGAACGTCAAGGGACGAAACTCTGCAGAACGAATTGCGTTGCGTCAGACGAATGTGCCACCAGTTGTTTGAAACAGAGTAGCATGTTCTTAATGAGTGCCGTGTCACCAAAACATGGTCAGGGTTAATTTGAGATTCGAACTCTACAGCAGAGAGACCACTGCACCAATGATGCCTGAGACAAATGTGACATCCAGGCCCCGCTAAAGTCAAGCTACTGTGTCTCATAGCTATATCACTATCGATTGTGAAATGATGGAATACTTCTTCCTCTAAGCTCTCACTGGTACAGTGTGTAGCCCAGTGTGTAGCCCGTGATATTTATGGAATATTGCGGAGTAAAACCATACTCACTCACTCACTCACTCTAAGTTCAGAGGGGCAGATACTCCGTTATTTCGAGCAAGGAGAAGGCACTAGACGGCTTTTTATTATGAAGCTATAATCTTTATGATATATATAGTCACTTTCTTTATTGTATAATATGGCAGGATCTTGGTTTGTCGGTGTTCAACACATGTGCCTTGTATCCTTCCGAACCTAAGGTATCAGAATGTTAAACAGTATGATATGTATAATCATTCTATGACTATTCTATTACACAGCTGGACACTTAAGACAAACAGTCATTCACCAGACATTTCATCTTGTTGCAGATCTGATAGGGAATGTCCTCTTTTCTAAGTTAAACAGTTCGTTAACCAACGATTCATTTTCCAGATATGATGACTTGACCCTGAATGGCATGACACCCGAGGAACTCAACTCCTACCTGCATGAACGATCAGGCAAGGAGAGGGTCTTCGCAAGCTTCCGACTCTCAGGCTTTGGCGGCTCTGCAAACGTGGTTGTCTATGCGTGCCGTCCTGCCAACGACGATGTAGCTGTCGACCAGTGCATCAAGGCCGGAGACTTCTTTGTATTGGGCGGGCCCACCGAGATGCCCTGGAGGTTTTACAGAGCGTTCCACTACGATGTCACTGACGTCGTCTCCGAGATCGACCACGACGGCCATGGTCACTATTATGTGAAGGCAGCACTATTTAGTGTAAATGGAAGCGCTCTTCCAAGTGATCTTCTGCCTCAACCCACTATTGCACACAGGCCAGCCCGTGGACATGTTGATGGTAAATGTTCATTTTATACATATCTGTGATTGAGTATGGTCTTAGTAAGTGTTCTTGGTTTAATCCCACTTTGAATAGCGGTTCAATTACTTCAAGGTGTGTCAGCTTTGATGTGGGAGAAAAGCCCGAACTATTGCAGGTCTCAGAAGTTTACCACTTACGTGAACCGCACGAGCAAGGGTATGGTGCGACAAATCTAGAAACCTTAGACCACTACTACCTATGTCCCATATTATATTTAACATAATAAGAGTATTTAGGTCATACTATGGACGGTTTGAGGAAGGAAATATCAAAAAGATATTGGTCGTAGCTGTTTTGAAATAGAATAGCTTCTTCAGGATGAGTGCTAGTTAAAGAAAATCACTGAAAGGGTTTAATTGGGATTCGAACTCATAGGAGAGGGACCACACAATTTGACCACAAGGCTACCCGCTCCACGCGATTATGCCTGACGCCATATATCAGATCGTTGGCATATTTGTAGACTAAACATTTTGGGAAACTAGTTCCTTCAGAGAGCCATGCGTGGTATAAGGTTTGATGCGGCTTTGAACAGACTTCCTGCATTGTACCAGTATGTGGGAGGGTAATGGACGCAGGTGAATGTAGTTTGCTACGAATACATCACAGCCGGGATCAGTAGTCAATTAGTAGGCATGAATTTCGGCTTATGGCACAATAAACGCAAATAGTGCATAGTTAGTAATATACCACTGTAGGTGTAAAAAACACGAATTTGACTGACTTGTATTTATCATTACAGAGCCCCCAGCACATGTTTCCCATGCCAACCTCGCCGTGAGGAAGGACATCAACCATCTGACACGTGAGGAGGTGTATGAGCTTCGTAGAGCTATGGAGAAATTCCAGAATGATAAGTCAGTTGATGGTTACCAGGCTACGGTGGAGTATCATGGCCTACCTGCTCGTTGCCCATTCCCTGAGGCCATAAACAGGATCGCCTGTTGCATCCATGGCATGGCAACATTCCCCCACTGGCACAGACTGTTCGTTACCCAAGTCGAAGATGCTTTGATCAGACGAGGATCTCCTATTGGTGTTCCTTACTGGGATTGGACTCAGCCCATGGCTCATCTCCCTGGCCTAGCTGACAATGAGACCTATCAAGATCCAATTAGTGGAGAAAGCAGACACAATCCCTTCCACGATGCCGCAGTTGCCTTTGAAAATGGGCGCACAGAGCGTCACACTGATGCTAGATTGTTTGAACAACCCCACTTCGGCAAACATACACGTCTTTTCGACAGTATGGTTTATGCCTTTGAGCAGGATGACTTCTGTGATTTTGAAGTTCAGTTTGAGATGACCCATAATAATATTCACGCCTGGATTGGTGGAGGTGAAAAGTATTCCATGTCCTCACTCCACTACACTGCCTTCGATCCCATCTTCTACCTTCATCACTCAAACACTGACCGTCTCTGGGCAATTTGGCAAGCATTGCAGATTAGAAGAAATAGACCCTATAAGGCACATTGTGCTTGGTCTGAGGAACGTCAGCCCCTGAAACCATTCGCTTTCAGTTCCCCACTAAACAACAATGCAAAAACCTACAAAAACTCAATTCCTACTAACGTATATGATTACGAAGGAGTTCTTGGGTATGCTTACGATGACCTCAACTTCGGAGGCATGGACTTGGGTGAGCTAGAAGAGTACATTGACAAACAGAAGCAGACAGACAGGACTTATGCTGGGTTCTTTTTGTCACATATTGGCACATCAGCGAATGTTGACATCTATATAAACCATGCAGGAGAAGAGTCCCATGTAGGCACATTTGCTGTCCTTGGCGGAGAGAAGGAAATGAAATGGGGATTTGACCGTATGTACAGATATGAGATCACAGATGAACTGAAGCAGCTTAATATTCACGCATATGATGGTTTTGACATCACTGTCAAAGTTACTGATGTTGATGGCACTGAACTATCCTCTGACCTCATCCCACCTGTGGCTCTTATCTTCGAACACGGTCAAAGTAAGTAGCTACATATTTATACTATTCTACAAATCAATTCACTCAGCCTGAATTTAATCATGTTTTGCATGATTGAAAACCAATTTGTACATTTGTGTCATCACAATATACATCTCAAAGAGTGGCGGGTACTACCGGTTGGACGGCACATGCTTTTGCAAACACCTTGTGTCATCTCTGATTTTCAGTGATCCATTCATATAATTTTCACTGACAGTTTGCCTTTTATGCCCAATGGAATCTGTTTTGAGAAATAATCGACACTGGTTGTTCTCTGGCAATGGGGTTTTATATGTATTGAATATAAAGTTATAACCCTAACCCTTATTATCTTGAATTAAACAGGATGCTACATACCCCCCTGACCATTTATAAGTCCACTTATTCATTTTTCTCTGATTACTTTATACAATTAAATCTGGTTTCTAATTTTTGTTTATTTATCTCCCCAGTTGACCATCATGATCATCGCCATGACACGATCATCAGGAAGAATGTTGATAATCTTACACCCGAGGAAGTTAATTCTCTCAGGAGGGCAATGGGCGAGCTGCAGTCAGACAAAACTGCTGGTGGATTCCAACAGATTGCTGCTTTTCATGGGGAGCCCAAATGGTGCCCAAGTCCTGATGCTGAAAAGAAGTTCTCCTGCTGTGTGCATGGCATGGCTGTCTTCCCTCACTGGCACAGACTGCTCACTGTGCAAGGCGAAAATGCACTGAGGAAGCATGGATATGTTGGAGCTCTTCCCTACTGGGACTGGAGTAGGCCCCTATCACACCTCCCTGCTTTAGTTAGTGATCCAAACTACACAGATGCCATATCCAACACGGACACCCGGAACCCCTGGTTCAGCGGCCATATCGATTCAGTCGGTGCAGACACAACAAGAAGCATCCGTCATGAACTGTATGAAGCTCCTGGATTTGGCCATTACACCGGGGTTGCTAAGCAAGTGCTCTTGGCTTTGGAGCAGGACGACTTCTGTAACTTTGAAATCCAGTTTGAGATTGCTCACAATTTCATCCACGCTCTTGTTGGGGGAAGCGATCCATATGGTATGGCATCACTCCGTTACACAACTTATGATCCACTTTTCTACCTCCATCACTCTAACACTGACAGACTTTGGGCTATATGGCAAGCTCTTCAAAAGCACAGAGGAAAACCTTACAATTCCGCCAACTGCGCTATTGCCTCCATGAGAAAACCTCTACAACCGTTCGGCCTTACTGAGGAGATCAACCCAGATGATGAGACAAGACAACATGCTGTTCCTTTCAGAGTCTTTGACTACAAGAACAACTTCAAGTATGAATATGATACCCTTGACTTCAATGGACTCTCAATTTCCCAGCTGGACCGTGAACTGTCACGGAGACAGTCTCATGACAGAGTCTTCGCTGGATTTTTGCTGCATGGTATCAAACAGTCTGCACTGGTGAAGTTCTTTATCTGCCGATCAGATGATGACTGTGACCACTATGCTGGAGAGTTCTATATCCTTGGTGATGAAGCTGAAATGCCATGGGGATATGATCGTCTTTACAAATATGAGATCACTGAACAACTTACAGCCCTGGATCTACACATTGGAGACAGATTCTTCATTAGATACGAAGCGTTTGATCTTCATGCAAGCAGCCTTGGAAGCAACATCTTCCCCAAACCATCTGTCATACATGACACAGGGGCAGGTGAGCAAATTAATAATACAAATGTAATTTACCCCCATCCAAATTGTTGTCTGAGATACATAAAATACTACTATTTTTTTTCTATTTAAAATCATTATTAGTTTGAAGACACGTTTAGCAATATTCCAGCAATCTCACAGCAGCACACACCAGAAATTGGCCGATTTATTTGTACCCATGTGAGGATGACTTCAGAATGACTAGCAAACGCTTTGATCACTAGGCTATTACATCTTTTATTTTATTTTATTTTTATTATTATTATTATTATTATTATTATTATTATTATTATTATTATTATTATAATCTGTCTGTAATGATTAATATGTAAATAAAATATCAATTGCTGGTATAGGTTTTATCTGGTAATGCAAGCAGTTAAATCTTCATGCAACTGTTTCAGGTCACCATCAGGCTGGCGAGTACACAGAGGTTGTAACTGCTGCAAGTCACATCAGAAAGAATTTGAAAGACCTATCCGAGGGAGAAGTAGAGAGCTTAAGATCTGCCTTCCTACAGCTTCAAAACGATGGTGTCTATGAAAATATTGCCAAGTTCCACGGCAAGCCTGGGTTGTGTGATGACAATGGTCGCAAAATTGCTTGCTGCGTGCATGGCATGCCCACCTTTCCTCAGTGGCATAGGCTATATGTGCTCCAGGTTGAGAATGCTTTGCTAGAGAGAGGATCCGCCGTGTCTGTGCCTTATTGGGACTGGACTGAAGCATTTGACAAACTTCCTTCTTTGATTGCTGATGCCACCTATTTCAATTCCCGCAAACAATCGTTCGATCCTAACCCATTCTTCAGAGGTAAAATCGGTTTTGAGAATGCTGTAACAACACGCGATCCTCAGCCTGAGCTGTACCAAAACAGATACTATTATCAAAACGTCATGTTGGCTCTGGAACAGGACAACTACTGCGACTTTGAGATACAATTTGAGATGGTTCACAACGTTCTCCATGCTTGGCTGGGTGGAAGAGCTACTTACTCAATTTCTTCTCTCGACTATTCAGCATTTGACCCAGTATTCTTCCTTCATCATGCAAACACTGACAGATTGTGGGCAATCTGGCAGGAGCTACAGAGGTACAGAAAGAAGCCATACAATGAAGCTGATTGTGCCATTAACCTGATGCGTAAACCTCTGCGTCCTTTCGACAACCCTGACCTGAATCATGATCCAATGACCTTCAAATACTCCAGACCAGCTGATGGCTTTGACTATCAGAACCATTTCGGATACAAGTATGACAACCTTGAGTTCAATCATTTCAGTATTCCAAGGCTCGAGGAAATTATTCAAAGAAGACAACATAAAGATCGTGTGTTTGCAGCGTTCCTCCTTCACAACATTGGTACATCTGCAACTGTCGAGATTTTTGTTTGTGTGACAACCGACAGAGGTGAGCAAAACTGTGAAAACAAAGCTGGATCATTTGCTGTACTCGGGGGAGAAACAGAGATGGCATTCAATTTTGACAGGCTCTACAAGTTTGAGATAAGTGACACTGTTAAGGACCTTGGCCTGCAGCTGGACAGCCACGATTTTGACCTTAACGTCAAGATCCAGGGAGTGAATGGATCCTACCTTGATGCCCACATCCTGCCAGAGCCATCCTTGATTTTTGAACCCGGTTCAGGTAAGGGATCATCGTTTTAGACAAAGTGCAGAGAAATAAAGACAATTAAGCTGAAACATGAGACAAGTTTATTTGTTTAAAGTGCATTATAGTCAGAAGTTGATTACAATAACATTGAAGCTGTAGTTATTTGTAGGCCTTCAGAGAACAGTTGAACTGTTAAGTTGATACCAAAGTAATTTTAATTGCAATACCAACTTTTTTTAATATTTTAGGTTCTCATCTGCGGGCAGATGGCCAAATGGAAGAGATTCTTGTTAGAAAAGAAGTGAACAGTCTGACAGTCAGGGAGACTGCATCTCTGATCCATGCTCTACGGAGTATGCAGGAGGACCATTCACCTGATGGGTTTCAGGCCATTGCTTCTTTCCATGCCCTGCCACCACTCTGCCCTTCACCATCTGCCGCCCACCGGTATGCATGCTGTGTCCATGGTATGGCTACATTTCCCCAATGGCACAGACTCTACACTGTACAGTTCCAGGATGCATTGAGAAGGCACGGAGCTAGGACAGGCGTACCTTATTGGGATTGGCTGCGACCCCAGAGTCAACTGCCAGAGCTTGTTACCATGGAGACTTACCATGATCCCTGGAGTAATAAAGACCTTCCAAATCCTTTCTACAGAGCCAATATTGAGTTTGAAGGAGAAGGCATTACAACCCATAGACAAATAACACCAGAGAAACTCTTTGTCAAAGGCGGGCACATCTTTGATAACTGGTTTTTCAAACAAGCCATCCTAGCGCTAGAGCAGGAGAATTACTGTGACTTTGAGATTCAGTTTGAGATTCTTCACAATGGTGTTCACACCTGGGTTGGAGGCAATGAAACATACTCTCTTGGACATCTTCATTACGCATCATATGACCCTCTCTTCTACCTCCACCACTCCCAGACAGACCGTATCTGGGCAATCTGGCAAGAACTCCAGATACAGAGAGGTCTCTCAGGAGATGAGGCTCACTGTGCCCTCGAGCAAATGAGAGAACCACTGAAGCCTTTCAGCTTCGGCGCTCCTTACAACTTGAACCAACTAACCTATGATTTCTCCAGACCAGAAGATACGTTTGACTACAAGAAGTTTGGTTATGAGTATGACAATCTGGAATTTCTGGGCATGTCAATTTCTGAACTGGATCAATACATTATTGAACATCAAGAAGATGATAGAGTCCTTGCTGGATTTTTGTTAAGTGGATTTGGAGATTCTGCATCAGTAGATTTCCAGGTATGCAGACCTGACTCCACGTGTCAGGATGCTGGGTACTTCACTGTTCTTGGTGGCAGTGCCGAGATGGCGTGGACCTTTGACAGGCTGTTCAAATATGACATTACTGATACTCTAGAGAAAATGCACCTTAGATATGATGATCCTTTCACAATCTCTCACACTCTGACTGCCAACAATGGAACAGTTCTAAGAAGTAGTCTGATCCCAACACCAAGTGTCATCTTCCAGCGTGGACACCGTGAGTAATGTAACTGTACAGTAACAATCATATACTACTATTCAGTAACAATATGTAATAATAATTTAATTGTACTGTTGATATAGACATGTAAATTAACGCAATAATTGAGTGAGATGAATTATTAAAAGCCTTCAGGGGCGGTCAGGTAGCCTAGTGGTTAAAGCGTTTGCTCATCACACTGAAAAACGGGGTCGATTCCTGACATGGGTAAAATGTGTGAAGCACATTTCTGGTGTCCCCCGCCGTGATATTGCTGGAATATTGCTAAAAGCGGCGTAAAACCATACTCACTCACTCACTTAAAAGCCTTCAGCTTCATGTGAGTGATTTCATATAGCGTCGCATCGACGATATTCCCATAAAATAGTTGAGTGGCTGATGGAATGTAAATTGATTTTGGAATATATCTTCATAGGTGACATAAATACCAGAAGCATGCCACCTAACCGTGTCCGCCATGAGTTGACTCATCTGTCCGCGAGGGATCTGTCTAGTCTGAAATCTGCCCTGAGAGACCTACAAAATGATGATGGCCCCAATGGCTACCAGGCGCTGGCAGCTTTCCACGGTCTACCAGCAGGTTGTCATGATAGTCAAGGACATGAGGTGATCTTACTTATTTTGTTGAAATCATCTTAAGTATGCCTCATTGTTATGGTAATTGTTCGGTAAATCCGTGTACCTAACCATTTACCTTTTAGAACCTTGACTGGACTGTATCAGTAGTTAAAACATGTATAATGTCATTTGATCCGTCTTTCTACCAGATTGCCTGCTGTATTCATGGAATGCCAACGTTCCCCCAGTGGCACAGACTGTACACCCTGCAGATGGAGCAGGCTCTCAGGCAGCATGGATCCTCCGTCGCCATTCCCTACTGGGACTGGACAAAGCCTATCTCCGAACTGCCCGATCTGTTCACCAGCCCTGAGTATTATGATCCATGGCATGATGCTGTTGTAAACAACCCATTCTCCAAAGGTTTTGTCAAATTTGCAAATACATACACGGTCAGAGATACCCAAGATATGCTGTTCGATCTCGTTCAAAATGGAGAAACAGTTCTCTTTGACCAAACTCTTCTTGTTCTTGAACAAACCGACTACTGTGATTTTGAAGTACAATTTGAGGTTCTCCATAACGTCATCCACTACCTCGTTGGAGGACGTCAGACTTACGCCTTGTCTTCTCTTCACTATGCATCATACGACCCACTCTTCTTTATACACCACTCCTTTGTGGATAAGATTTGGGTTGTTTGGCAAGCTCTTCAAAAGAGGAGGAAACTTCCATACAAGCGAGCTGACTGCGCTGTTAACCTCATGACGAAACCAATGAGGCCATTTGACTCCGATATGAATCATAACATCTTTACCAAGATACATGCAGTTCCAAACACACTCTATGACTACGAGAAGCTGTATTACAGCTACGATAACCTCGAACTAGGTGGAAGGAATCTAGACCAGCTGCAGGCTGAAATTGATAGAAGGAGAAGCAACCCTCGAGTTTTTGCTGGTTTCTTGCTCCATGGAATCGGAACTTCTGCTGATGTCCGGTTCTGGATCTGTAGAAACGAAAATGACTGCCACAGGGCTGGAATAATCTTCATCTTGGGTGGAGCCAAGGAAATGCCATGGTCCTTTGACAGAAACTTCAAGTTCGATATCACCAATGTCCTCAAGAAAGCCAACATCGACCCAGAGGAAGTGTTTGATGCAGAAGAACCATTTTATATCAAGGTTGAAATCCATGCTGTCAACAAGACTATGATACCATCATCTGTAATCCCAGCCCCAACCATTATCTACTCAGCTGGGGAAGGTGAGAGAACCAGTAATAGCTTCTGTCGACACAGAATGTGTTCATTTAATGACCTGACTGTGGGTCGGAGGCTGATGACTTCTCCACCTCCTCCGCCCGTTCCTCCTCCGAAAGGGTTAGATTCAGGTTCTCTTGCCACAATGCCAAGCAGACCTCCTGAACAGGCTGTATTTATAAGTAAGGGTTACATGACAAGAACAACACGGGGCATGCAGTGATGTAATGATTAATAATTAGCTGTTGAAACGTTTGCTGAAGATTTAAGCACTGTTGGACAATGACACAAACATGGACACGGTATCATTAAGTAGTGTTCCAAGTTTGAACACTCACCTTTATTAAATCGTCCATCCTTTTGAATGTATTTTTCTTCATATTGAAATACATCACTGTATGTTTATTGGCGTAATGGCGAGCGTTACTTATATAGCGACAAAAATAAGTTTCTTAAATTTATCTGGTTAGATGTATCCAGTTCTTTGCGTTTATCTGTCTAATATTATCCTATATAAAAAACATTGTTTAGGCTTACGTTCTCGAAAGACCGATAACTAAGTCAACTGGAACCCTCTTAAAATGTATTTTACAACCCATGGCTACAGCTGTTATCCCTTACTTTTAAACACACTATAGATGGCTAAAAGATAGCAAATGTGAGTGCCACTCTCAATTCTACTTGACAGTGGCCATCTCTGAACTAACACTTATAATTTACTTGTGACATAAGTAGGCTATATAGCAATCATTTAATGACGTCACTTGATTCCCAATAATGTCCATGTTTGGTCCCATAATGTAGACTTGTCAGACTGACACTAATACACATCTAATATTATGGTCCATATATCACCCTGTCCAGGACACGCAGTTGACAGTGCCCAGTCTGCTAACATCGCTGGCTCTGGAGTAAGGAAGGATGTCACAACCCTCACTGTATCTGAGACTGAGAACCTGAGACACGCCCTTCAAGCTGTCATCGATGACAGTGGTCCCAATGGTTACCAAGCTATAGCATCTTTCCACGGAAGTCCTGCAATGTGCGAGATGAACGGTCACAAGGTTGCGTGCTGTGCTCACGGTAATACATTCCATACTGTTCTTTGTGAAGTCAATGTGAAATAGTTGGGGTTTTTTAAGTAAACATAACAAGTATGTATGGATGTACGTTTATTGGGTATTTTAAGATTAAAATAATATATTTGATTTATATTAAGGTGAGGTGAAATGGAGTTTAACGTCGTCTAACGATTATTGCACTTATATAGCGACGTGCATGCACATTTGTGTGTGTGTGTGTGTGTCTGCTTATACTAGTCTGGACTGATACCGATTTAAAATGCTAGCCCACTGAGATACCATGCCGCAATTTAACATGAATACCCCACTCAGACACAATATACTGACTCCAAGTCGAACAGTCCTTGCTTTTAGACCCTTAATGCCGAGCGCCAGACAAGTTCCATCTTTTAAAGTCTTTTGGTATGACGCGGCTGGGGATCGAACCCCGGACCTTCCGCTCTAGGGGCAGACGCTCGACCACTAGAGGTCCGATATATATTAAGATTAAATTAATTATGTTTCAAAATTCTAGTGTGTGTGGATAAAGTGACCAGTGCATGGGTTTACATATTCCATGGAATGATTACCTGATGTTATGATCAATACACTATAAAAAAAAAAAAATTATACACTATACACGGTATCATTACATTATCAAGATATACCTAGACACACACATATATAAATATTCAGCGTCTGTCTCATGAAAATGACATCCTTTTGTAGGTATGGCTTCTTTCCCCCACTGGCATAGACTGTATGTGAAACAGATGGAGGATGCTCTGGCTGCTCACGGATCCCATATCGGAATCCCATACTGGGACTGGACAACTGCCTTCACGGAATTACCCGCCCTTGTCACAGACTCAAATAACAATCCCTTCCACGATGTGAGTTGTCTTCTTTGACCAAGCCCTTAGAAGCTAATAATACATTTTTTCTATTTTCAATTGCCACGATCACCGAAACATAAGTAAACGAGTATATTTGTGTAAAATGAACAAATGATTAGGTTGTGGGGGAATTAACAACGCTTCATGATATACTAACTGTCAGTACCTCGTCAAAACAATAATGCATATGGTTAAAAACATTGCTTTTTTGTCACCTCAACCCGTATATATATATATTTATAATAAAATAAGTATATATATGTTTTATGGTGGCAAAAAATGAAACAAACAGAAAATGGTTATTCGATGGTGATATATTTGACACGGGTGTCATCATTGTTCTTTGGGCCTAATGTTTGCATTCTTTCGGCAACTGTTTTCAGCCTAGTATAAACGTTTTCATGATGTCTTTAATTATTTGGTCAAATCCAAAAGTGTCTACTTTCTTTTTCTCGGTAGTTAACTACTAAATATATTGCATAACCTATGTAGTGACATGTTTCTATTGTCGACTTCCATCAGGGACACATTGATCATCTAGGAGTAACCACATCCCGTTCTCCAAGAGACTTGCTGTTTAACGATCCAGAACAGGGATCGGAGTCCTTTTTCTACAGACAAGTCCTCCTGGCTTTGGAACAGACCGACTACTGCCAGTTTGAGGTCCAGTTTGAGCTGACCCACAACGCTATTCACTCATGGACAGGTGGACGTAGTCCTTATGGAATGTCTACTCTGGAGTTCACTGCCTACGATCCTCTCTTTTGGCTTCACCACTCCAACACCGACAGAATCTGGGCTGTCTGGCAAGCACTACAGAAATACAGAGGTCTCCCGTACAACGAAGCACACTGCGAAATCCAGGTTCTGAAACAGCCTTTGAGACCCTTCAGCGATGCCATCAACCACAATCCTATCACAAAGGCTAATGCCAGGGCTATCGATTCATTTGATTATGAGAGGTTTAACTATCAGTACGACACTCTTAGCTTCCATGGTCATAGCATCCCTGAACTGAATGACCTTCTTGAAGCAAGGAAGAGAGAAGAGAGGACATTTGCTGCCTTCCTTCTCCGTGGAATCAAATGCAGTGCTGATGTTGTCTTTGACATCTGCCGACCCAATGGTGACTGTGTCTTTGCAGGAACATTTGCAGTCCTTGGAGGCGAACTGGAAATGCCCTGGTCCTTCGACAGACTGTTCCGCTATGATATCACCAAAGTCATGAATCAGCTTCATCTCCAATATGATTCAGATTTCAGTTTGAAGGTGAAGCTTGTCGCCACCAATGGCACTGAGCTTTCATCGGACCTCCTCAAGCCACCAACTATTGAACATGACCGTGGAAGTATGTTATTTTATTATCAAATGTGTAATTACACATGATATTTGCACTATGTACATTTTCACATTAATTAATGCTGGCATATCATTAATTAGTTCGAGTGAGTGAGTAAGTATGGATTTATGCTGCTTTTAGCAATATTGCAGCAATATCACGCGGGGGACACTGGAAAATGGACTTTAATCATTGTACCCATGTGGGGAATCGAACCCGGGTCTTCGGCGTGAAGAGCCATCGCTTTAACCACTAGGCTAACCACTAGGCTACCCCACCACCCCTAATTAGTTCAAGGCTTGGTACTGTATAAGATGACGAGTATTGATATTAGTGGGTATTAGTCCAGCATTTAGTTCATGGTTTGTGGTTGTTTTAGCTTTTATATTGATGAAGATGGGTGAGTGAGTGAGTAAAAATTTTAAGTCACGTCGGCAATATTTCAGCCATATTGTGACTATCAAGGGTTAAACATAATAAACACAGTGGGACTTACATAAAAACCTGCCAACGAAGGACATTAAAATAACTAGACTTATCACAGGAATATATTTAAAACTAGTATGTAATCATAAAATGGATAGCACTATACATAACATTACATTATAAAATCGGGCTATAGATCGCCAGCAACTTATCAAGTTAGAGAATTAAAGCTCTAATCTGACCCGAGAATGAATTAATTTTAGTTCTTCGAGCACTGATTATTAAAGTCAGCATTAATAGCGAATAGTTGAGTGTGTATGGTTAGTCGCAGTTTAGAACAGCATTTCATTTATATCATGTCATCTTAATATTGTCGTAAGTGGCGACTAACGGCATCGGGTGGTCAGGCTCGCTGACTTGATTGATACATGTCATCGTATCCCAATGGCGTAGATCGGTGCTCATGATGTCAATCACTGGATTGTCAGGTCCAGACTCGATTATTTAAAGACCGCCATCATATAGCTGGAATATTGCTGAGTGTGGCGTTAAACAACAAACAAAACACCTAAATTATCGCAATTGTTAAGATAGATTATTGAACTCACACAATCTACCTTTTTCAGTGTCTAGAGGACCAGTTGAAGAAACAGAAGTCACCCACCAACATACAGATGGCCATGTACACTACCATCGTAAGGAGGTCGACTCTCTGTCCCTTGATGAAGCCAACAACTTGAAGAATGCTCTCTACAAGCTACAGAACGATCGCAGCCTCAGCGGATATGAAGCAATCTCTGGTTACCACGGATATCCAAGTCTTTGTCCTGCAGAAGGAGATGACAAATACCCATGCTGTGTCCACGGCATGGCCATCTTCCCCCACTGGCACAGACTCCTAACGATCCAACTGGAGAGAGCTCTCAAGAGCCAAGGTGCACTCCTTGGTGTACCTTACTGGGACTGGACCAAGGACCTGTCTACTCTGCCAGCATTCTTCTCCGACGCCAGCAACAACAATCCCTTCTACAAGTACCACATTACAGGTGTTGGACATGACACCGTAAGAGAGCCAAATGATCTTCTGTTTAACCAGCCCAAGTTCCATGGTTACGATTACCTTTATTACCTAGCTTTGACCACACTGGAAGAAAATAACTACTGTGACTTTGAGGTTCAATACGAGATTCTCCACAACGCTGTCCACTCTTGGTTAGGTGGAACCCAGAAGTATTCAATGTCCACCCTGGAATACTCTGCCTTTGACCCTGTCTTCATGATCCTTCACTCAGGTCTCGACAGGCTCTGGATAATCTGGCAGGAGCTTCAGAAGCTGAGGAGGAAGCCATACAACTTTGCTAACTGTGCCCGTCACATGATGGATGAACCACTCGCCCCCTTCAGCTATCCTTCTGTCAACCAGGACGAGTTCACTCGTGCCAACTCCAAACCTTCTACAGTCTTTGACAGCCATAAATTCGGCTACCATTACGACAACCTGAATGTCAGAGGTCACAACATTCAAGAACTCAACACAATCATCAACAATTTGAGAAACACAGCCAGAATCTATGCAGGATTTGTTCTGTCCGGCATCGAGACGTCTGCTAGTGTGAAAATCTACCTCCGGACCAATGGCAAAGATGAAGAAGTTGGAACTTTTACTGTCCTGGGAGGAGAAAGAGAGATGCCATGGGCCTATGAGAGAGTGTTCAAGTACGACATCACAGAGGTTGCGGAACGACTCGGATTAGGCTATGGGGACACCTTTAACTTCCGACTGGAGATCACATCCTACGATGGAGTGGAGATCACAAAGACCCTACCCAATCCTTTCATCATCTACAGACCTGCCAGTCATGATTACGATGTCCTGGTCATCCCCGTAGGAAGCAACCTCCACATCCCCCCTAAGGTCGTTGTCAAAAGAGGCACACGGATCGAGTTCCACCCAGTCGATGAATCAGTTAGCAAACCAGTTGTGGATCTTGGAAGCTACACCGCGCTCTTCAACTGTGTGGTACCACCCTTCACATACCACGGATTCGAATTGAACCACGTCTATTCTGTCAAACCTGGTGACTACTATGTAACTGGACCCACAAGGGAGCTATGCCAGAATGCAGATGTCAGGATTCATATTCATGTTGAGGATGAGTAAATAAAAAGGTGAGTGGCGACACCCTTCTGTTTATTGTGCCATAGCGTATTACAATTTAAACACTTTCACCCTTGATGTTTCTTATATATATTATAAGTATAGCTAACAATTTGGGTCACATAATGATATTTAGGTATTTCATATCAGGGTTATTGAATGAATCTATTTTTGAAATGCAATGGACATCGAAGGTGGAAGAGGTCCGAAGTAATTCATGCTTCTTGTAGGAACAAGCAATAATATTGGTCGGAAGGTTACAACCATACCAACACCATGTGGTCTTTATTTGTGCTTTCAACGATGTTTTGTCTTGTTCAGACTCGGTTATTTACAAGCAGCATTGATATAACTTGTGGACTCCAGCTAAAAACAAAATTCACTGTCTTTCTTAATCTTGTGAGAAATGAATGGGAATTATATCTCAATAAAAGGCGACAAAAGCATTTTTACAAAAGTGTTCACTGAAAGAAAACGGGAACATATGGTACGAGTCAAAATGGGGAAATGCACCAGGCATCATTGTTTTAACTAATTTTGAAATGTCTTCCACATGTCTACCATAAATCTCTTTGAAAGTTTTACAAAGGCCTTAACTAAAGAACTTGTGTTATAAATATGAACAAAGTAGGACAAATATAGCTTTTCATTTTAGGTACCCTGGTCTCAACATCTCCACATATCAGCATCTGATGGTTTCAAGGGACATAGTGGTCCTTGTCTGGCAGTCCATTTCAATTCAACATCAAAAACAACAGCAGCATTTCTTTACAATGTGTTTCAAAAGTGTTGGTGAAATATTGAAATGTGCTAAGGACTGAATTATTGTACATACATAACTTATTGTATAGAGATATTCAATAAATAAATGTCAAAATTAAATTGCTTGTTGGTTGTCATTCAAATTAAGATACTCATGGTGTCAATCCCTGGGTTATCTTGTCTAGACTTGATTAATTACAGACAGCCTACCTTTTGCTGGAATATTGCCGAACGCGGTATAGGTCACTTATATTATTGCCGGGAATAAGATTTGTAAACCTTGCCGTGTATGTGATGAGCCAGGATGCTTCTGGATCTTAAAAAAATCCAAGTACCCAATGCTTGTTGCATGAACCGATCAAGATGAGGATCAGGAGATCACAATGTCTGACCTGGCCGATTGTGTGTCATGTCCAGGTGTGAGCATTGCTCATGGTACATGTTTGCCTATCCCTGATGAAATTATTTCAAGTGCTGATTATACGGATGTAATATTGCTTACTGTAGCATGAAACAACGTACACCCACCTATAATGTAAGACTACTCTATATGGCCAGGGAGAAATGCTTCCAAAGTAAACAACATCACTACCAAGCAGATGAGTGGCAACAGTATCACAACATTTCCATCATATCATAGCATGTAATCATTATGTGGGAGGAAAGAGTGAGTGAGTTTAATGTGGTTTTGAACAGTATTCCAGTTGTATTACAGCATGTCAGCTTCATAAGCTTCACCGTGAATAGCAGGACCTAAGGCAACTGGGTCACCCATGCCCCCGGGACGCAAGCCCCATTTGATGCAGGACATACTAATTGGAGGTGAGGTGAGGTGAAATCGGGTTTAACGCCAAGATTATTGCACTTACATAGCGACTGTGTGTGTGTGCTTTTTTGTCTTTGTGTGTGTGTGTGTGTGTGTGTGTGTGTGTGTGTGTGTGTGTGTGTGTGTGTGTGTGTGTGTGTGTGTGTGTGTGTCTGTGTGTGTGTGTGTGTGTGTGTGTGTGTGTGTGTCTGTGTCTGTGTCTGTGTCTGTGTGTGTGTGGCTGTGGCTGCTTGTACTAGTCCGGACTGATGCCGATTTATAGTGTCAGCTCACTGAGATACCATGACGCATTTTAACATGAATACCCCACTCAGACACAGTATACTGACTCCGAGCCGACCAGTCCTTGTTTTAGCCCCTAATGCTGAGCGCCAGTGTAACAAGAAGTACCATCTTTTATTGTCTGTTTGTATGACCAGGGGATCGAAGCCCGGACCTTCCGCTTTCCGAGCATACACTCTACCTCTAGACCAATATTAATTGGGAAAACCCACAAGCCTCAAATCGTACTGACAATCCAAGGATCACTGCCAGCGTGAAATTGGAAATGATGAGAACAACCATGGACAAAGGATTTTTTTATTCATAATATTTAAGTCTCTTCATGACATAGCAGACTAAGTAACAAAGCCTCCCATACACCCACACTGAATGTATTATGTTCTTCATGAAACAAACAGAAGATAGAGATCACCTCATAATATACATTCAAATACAGGAAGGAATACTCAAACACTTCAAGACATGCACATCCTAAAATGACTTTTGAAGCAATAAATACTTAATTGATTAATCATCTTCAGAAAAACTAAAGACATTAAATTTATTAAATCAATACATTTTGAAATACACCTGCATTGGGAGTTTCAAGCATGCAAGGAACTTGAGTACACTGAAAGTGTAGGATTGTTAAGAGGAACTGACCCATGTAGCTCACCTGGATATATGTTCTAGTAACATTACATTTGCCTGAGTGATAACCATTATTTTTTCCTCCAGGTAATCTAATGAAACAATACAAACAAATAAAAAGACACTTCTAAAAGATGTCAGACACAGGTCAATAGAGATGCATTCAAGATAGACTTGATAAGGAACACAATGACATAAGTTTATTCAAATCAAGTTCAGTTCTCAGTCCGGAGAAGACTCATGGCATTTGAATGCCTGAAGAAATAACATAAGCTCTGAAAAGAAACATCTGCATCACTTAAAAGAAATCATAAAATATTTTTGCTGTACATTTGAAATTATCACTGTTCCGCAAAGCTGAGTATTGAAAGTGGACAGGAAAGTTCATGAAACAAAAAAGAATATGTGCCGTAAATATTCAAGGTCAAGAAGTAGATATTTTGCAATAGAACGTGGTAATAGCTCTTATTGGTTGGTCGCATTGATGATAATAAATATTCATAAAGTATATCTGATTTTGGAGAAAAAAAAGTATCATTAAAGAAATGTAAGTACATCCAAGAAGATCATGCTGACACAACAAGACATGAGAAGCTGAGTCATCAAATTCAACACATAGGATAACATTCAGTGGTTAAGTTTGTAAATAGAGAGGAAACCAATGAGCACAATGAGTAATGTGAATACATCAGGAATATTATTGTCTTAATTTGGGTGGAACAAATGGATGAAAACACAAGAACTGATGGGCCTAAAGAACACAGGGTTATGAGGTATGATTTTAACAAAACACAATGTGTTTCTACTATTAACCATGTTAAGACAAGGACGTCGAGGGATAAATGGCATGAATATCATCCAAATATTGCCAGTTGCTTCATAGCTTCACAACAATTTTGAATTGCATACCATGACAGAAGAAATTGGAAAGTAGTTATACGGAGAACATGGGACATGGTTGTAATGAACTAATGACATATATTCCATAGGCTTCATCAAACAAATATTTGTTCTCTGAAGCCCATTTTGTTTACACAAAGATGAAAACTTCATTTGATATTTAGTATATATAGCTGCTAATCAATCTCATTAAAATAAGATCTTAGTTCTCGTTATCGCTAAACAAAGATCTGAGGACATCTCATTACGGGTCACGTCAGAACGACCTTTCATCTGACCAATCAAAACATCGCTTACCAGATCATGAAAGTGACAGTTGGAATGAGTTTTCTAATCACGCAACCTCGAAAACGTTAACACGGGGTATTCCAAACGACAGTTACGGCCCGTACTACAGATTCGATCAAAATTATCGTCTATCTCTCACTTCTGTGGGATAAACATTTGCACGGGGGAGGCGTTTCACAATACGTGGGAAGCACTGCCATACAATCAGTTTTCAAAATTTTAATCAAGAACTGTTTCAACATATTTTTCAAGCGTAGTCTGAAATGGAAGTCGCCAGGATGCAACGAGTGCCAGGTTGCAAGCTCGAGAAAGCTGCTTTCTAATTGCCTGATGTCGACTTCTTGTTAGTCATTTTAGTGGTCGGTCAAAGTTTGCGAAAGGTTGTTCTGACGTGACCCGTAATGGGATGCAATGGGATGTCCTCAGGTCTTTGTTTAGCGGCAGCAAGAAGCAACTAATCTTCAAAATAAAAAATTGTAAGTTTAATTTTTTTTCCATTAATTTGTCCTCTTTTAGCACAAGAACAAATAATTTATTTGTATTAGCCATACATATACTCACTCGTTCAACTTTCCATCAAAACAACGATATGTTAACATTCAGTGTATCAATGCAGTATGTACAAATGATTATAAAAAATCAATTCTTCACAATAAATACACAGTTAAATGTGTTCAATCATACTGTATACTTTTCGCATGTCCCGATGTGCTTTAAGTTGCTTTAAGTTGCATCTGAAATATATACAATATACGGGGAAATGTTAGTGAACCATTACGCAACGAGTTGACAGTTGTTTTAGGGATGCCCGTTTGCGCTGAGACGGAACCCGGTCGCAAAAAATGGCCACGAGGGGAGCACGACTCGCTATTCGGCTTGTCCCGGAATAACACGCGTTGGTGTAGTATCATTCACTGTGATTTCATCTATTTGTACGTACTTTTGTCATATCATACTCCATACAAAAATAAGGGAAACCGTTAGGGTAGCCACGGATCTAAATACATATGAGGTCCCTGTGGGTATCCTAAACTTTCCGGGCAGTTACCGCTATTAAAACATACACCAGTGCCTGCTCCGATCTATTGTAGAGGCACGGGAGGCCCAGTCGTCTGAGGCGCCGCTATTCACTGTACAGAGTTGCGTCCCTTGGACACACCAGAAACCTATGATTTTGGGTTCGAATCCCTCTTCGCCCTTATTATGTTTCTAGGTTGTCAGCACCATACCCGTGCTCGTGGGTTTCACTGAAGTGGTAAACATCTGAGATGTGCACTTCGGGCTTTCCTCCCACATTAAGCTGACACGCCGCG